GTTATTAGAGCGAGGCAAGAAATCCAGCAAGAAGAGGTTTGCTATTCAAATGACTGTTACTCTCTTGGTTGGCTCGTAAGCGCCAAGCCGAGATTAGATTCGTTAGGCAAGAGTGGAGCAGAATCTGATAAATCCTCTTGTGATCTCGAGGATGTTATCCAAACTTTTTGTAAATTCTAGGACATGTCTGACTCGGACGAAAACCGAACCGTGTCGATTTTCATCGATCGGATCTACATTCCGGAGTTTTCTCGCCTTCTTTATCCTATCTATGATAACGTGAAAGTATATGTTGACTGGTCAGTTCTTTTTTTCTACTTTTTACAAACAATGATTCACTTCAGTATGAATATTGCTGTCTGCTGTTATTGCTATTAAAGGGAGTTGGTGTTGGGGCGAATGATTTGGTTAGTACAGTAAGCGCACACAGAGGAAACCCTTACAACCATTCTTCTGCCATAAGGTCAATAGGTTACAAACGTTTATCCTCAAAGACAGCACGCACGCTCACCTGCGAGGCGCATCCTGACAGTGCGGGGCTAACAGGCCCCCAGTCGTCGAACACACGAAGATGGAGCCTCATAACCGCGGGACAGGCTGATTTTCCCATTCTCTGCCTAGAAGCAACTTACGCCGCAGACGCGCTGCACAGCGTTACCATATCCCGGTCGCATCTGTGACAACCAGCGTCAGCAGAAGGCATGTCGGCACTTTGCCAAGTCCCGTAGTTTGTGGTTTGAACGCGACTGAAACGCCATCACCTGACGCTGAGATAATTGGAGCGTGCTCATGCTGCGAACCCTGAACCATATGACAAGAGGGCTAGAATGAAGAGCAACTAGACTGCAGAAGCTGTATATCTACATCCTCTGTGATTACCGAGCGCGCCAGTTCATGCATGGAAGAGCTCCTGCACGTCGGCTAGATGCGTATTCTGACTTGAAACTGCTAATCGTTACATTATTTGTGGCATCGTGTTCTGGAAAGTTAATCTTGAATTGTAGGTTTTTCTTGGACTATCCACTGGAGGAATCAAGAACCCCAACGGCGATTCCGCTGCCACGGATTCCAGATTCTCCTGGACTATTCGTGCATAAAAAAGGTAAAGGACGAAAAATGAACATAGAATCTAATAAAAGCATAGTTCGTACCACGCTTCCTGGGAAGCGCCTCTCAATGGGTTAGCTGTGAACGTGGGGGCAGCTACCTACGTCTGCGTGCAGACCGGTGGGGGCAGCTACCTACGTCTGCGTGGCGGGATTCAAGGCAGAGGGCGGCGCAGACGTAAGGCCGTCATGCTCGCAACTAAGTCCATGGACCGCCCTATCGAGGAGCATTGATACGAATTGTGTTGCCAATCGTTTTCGAAAACCATACTTAGCTAGCAAGTCGATGAGGCCAGGCGCTGTTGGCTTAGCCGAGGCATTGTACTGATTCCTATCGAACATGGCCTCTTATGGTGGCCTGCAAATTCCCATAGCTACACTATAATCCCAAGACGATGAAGAGGGGGCTTTATTACGTCTCACTGACACCTGTTACGGCGGTTTCGAGAGTTTCTGCTCCTTGTTTCGTGCAGTTCAACTTCGTCAAGCTTCAGTCTCATAAGTTAAGTGACATTAGGTTTCAGATGCAAACAGTGACACTTTCAGTCGTCGAAAAATTCCAGATTTTTGGGACTACTACAACGCGCCCCAGTAGGTACGCAATTACGACTCATGTATTTCCTGGATACAGAGGGATATGTATGTAGTAGCATGAGCTTCGTTGATTTGACAAGAGTTACAGGTGTCAGCGGTGTGAGACGTGTAATTTACTGGGAACAGCAGACGAAACCTCCCCGAACCCACTAATACCACCGCAAAATTAATATCACACTTTTAAAGATGAAAACAACATGCTGCTCAATGTGTTGTATTTCTTTCAGTGTTTTTTATTATACTTCTAGAATTTCACCTATCACGACGAAGGGTTGCGTTGTTGGATCAATGGCTCGAGCTCGGTAATCGTCTGGACTTCACGCTAATCACAGAAGGAGAAGACAGCGAGGAACTAGCTGTAGCACAACTAGAACTTAGCCGAACCGCCACTGACGAGACGACGACAATCCAGTGTACGTCAGATGCTTGTGGCTTATCGATGCGGAAGGAGAATAACACCTTCGTTTTCGAGTTCTTTTGGACATACACGCGCGAGGCATTCCACGCCGATTAGACGCTTGTCAGCTCCCTACTCGCCCCAGATTTGTGTATTTGTTCTAACTGACGTTGATGGTGGGCGGCTTGTGATCAGAGTTATCTCAGAATTAAATGTTAATGTGTCGTACCTGGTCGCTGTCATTAGAGTGGAAAGCTTGTGGGCGCAGGGGCACATCCATGCATTGGTGAGGATTTTGGTGGATCCGAGCGTTTTTCGCGTGGCTTGATAACGACTCCCACCGGCCCTGTGTGCCCTATCATTGTGTCGTTGTCCAGCGCCAGGGCGGGGCGGGGAGGGACGGTAATGCACATATGAACAGAAACACATAGAAAAAGCAACACACCAGCTTACCCGAAAGGCCAAAAAGATAAATACGACGGCCGCCTCCCCGGAGCAATGAGCAAAGTAAAAACCCCCACACTTGTTTTTAACTGTCCGCCGTGAAAAAAGAAAAATCAACTATCAGTAAACTTTTCTCAGAGCCCAAACACGACTACCCTCTCCCGGCGAACCAAATACGACCCTCGTGATGGGGATTCCCCAACAACGATGTGCTCTGACGTTGCGTACGAAACAGTCGAAGCTCATATAATTTCGCACCACTGTACTTCAAAAAATGCGTCGTGCATTTGACTCGAAATATCGGTGGAATAAACAACATTTCCCAGTAGTACAGACATGCATTTAGTCATTTAGCACATTCGAGTACGGCGCAGAGCGTGCGTAAAGAACAACCTCGCAGACGGCAAGGGAGTGGCGTGGTGGTTCTATCGTCGGGTGCGCTCGCGCCGTGTGGGCGGAGCCGACGGCGGCGTGCCGCGCGACTAGATCGTTAGCGTGAGCCGCTTTTCCAAATTTTTAAAGGGCATCGAAGTCCTTTATCCAATTTTAAGAGGCACATCTCGCTGTGGCCGTTTTGCCCTCATGACAACTCGGCGAGTACGGTAAAGGCGACCTCGAGACTGCGGCGTCGGCGGCTATGTGCGGCGCGTCGGCCTGACTTGCCGACGATAGAATCGCCCGGGTGCCCAGACGCAGTCATGAGCACAACAGCCCAACTGATTCAACGTGGAAATGCTGCACCATGTCAGGTCGACTAGCTAGAAAATGTTCGGCTGAACTTCGAGCAATGCCGCTCATGGAATATCTCAAGCTATACCATTCAGACAATCAGGCGTACAACAGAGAAAGTGAGGGCCCTTAGCCACGTGCTCGACGCGAGGGTCCACACTCATCGGATCCGATCCAGAGGCTTAAACGGGTGTGGAGATATTGTTTGGGCCAAGGAAAACTGTTAAGTGGGCGGAGCCGCCTAAGCATGACACTGGCGCTTGCGCGGCGCGTGGCTCTAGTTAATTACCTGGCCACTAAGCCAAACCTGTTGACTCTCTCATTGACAGCCTCAAGACAGGAGGGAAAATCTGGATGAATGCCAATTCAATTTTTGTACGTTAGGCAAACTAATTTACAGGCGGCACGTTTTCACACCTGCACACGATACATAAAGGGGACAAAAACAGCACACAGCACACCTCGTTAGATCTGAGCATGATTCTACCGTCGTACCAGAATGGCCCTTATCAGGACTGTTTCACACAATCACTCTTCACTGGTTTATATTCCAACAGATTCCTTACACCTTGTTACTGCTCTTCTGTCTGTTTCTCGATCTACATGGATAGTTTCCAGCTTCCACGAATACCATGCAAGCACACTTTTCATCACAGTCCAGAGCACTCTTTCCCCTATGTTCTCAGGTTACAAGCCTCCCCAGGGATGTTTACTCTAGCGTGACTGCAACCTCTGTTCCAGCTCCTCCACCTCCCTCGCACGTCCACATTTAGCAAATCGCTTCTTATTCTCAACCTCCTCCACATTTCTCACTAGTCCAGCTCCAGCAACTTGCTTCTTGTTTTCTACCTCCTCCATTTCTCTCACGGGTCCACTTTCAACAATCCACACCTTCCTCCCCAGGTCCTCTACCTCTCTCCCCTATTCACTGCTAAGAATCCAGGAATGAGAATTCATTCCTGGGATCCAGGAACGGGAAATTCGAGGAGTGTTATCGAACGAGTCCTAGTCAAGAGCAAGTGGAAGAGTTCTGCAGAAGGATGGCGAAATATGTCACCAACAAGACCATATGATTTTTGAAGCGTAAAAAGTTTTCTTTGATTCGTCTTATGTGAATCGTTCAAGTATTGTCACCAAAATATGTAATAATAAATAATAAAATAATAACAATAGTATTAGTAATAGTAATAATAATATGATGTAATAAATAATACAATATGATAAGTGTTTCATTCAATGGTTCAACCCGATATTGTATTTGCGTTTAGTAGACCGTTGCGAGGTCGGCGTGTGCGCTATATAGTTGAGATGACCATGTATATCTTTATTTTTTTTCCGCCACCCCGGCAAACTTGCCAGCTGCGAGGTGAACTAAGAAGGAATTTCAAGAAACTCAGAAGAATTAGACTGACCCGTAAGTAGTGGCGTTTTTTGTCACACAAAACAAATTTTATATGGAAAATGACAAATGTTGCCAATATGTACACTGTTTTCATAGATAACCAGTTTGGCTAACGCGCACTTCCGCGAGCATGTAATAATTGAACCTGTGCAATTGAAAAATGGCAGTACATCTGCATCAACGTAGAACAAACTCCAGCTAAAAGTTAATCTTCAAGCTACCTATCTCCGGTTATATCAATGCATCACCATCGGATTGCCAGTGCCCGCAGTACTTATCATACTCCTGAATCTTCCATCTGGTGCAAACTAATGGACAGCCTAGCGATCGAGGAGAGTTTTTGATGGAACAATATCGAGATTGATGGTGAAAATCTTCACATCACTGTTCGGAGAAGTGGCTGAAGTGATTTGTCATGTATCTACTTCGGTCGGCTCTTATTCCTCATTGGCAAAGCCATCCTTGACTTTCCTGTCTAACAGTTTTTATGTATCTTATCAGCTGTTATCACTTTCTGCTTACCACCCCAATTTATTTGCGAAGCCTACCCCTACATCACCTATTCAAATATGTTCCACGCTTGCTGGCATGGATATGAAATTGGGTACTCTCTCCTTCTAACGCCTTTTATGGTATCTTATCTATTGTTATCACTTCCTGCCACCCACCAGTGTTGTCCCAACCTATCACCTATAATCGGCGTTATGCAACCAAGGTAATTCATTGTTGCTGTCGGTATGGTAGATATGAAGTTAACGGCCCACCTCTCAACCCTCTTATATATGGTATCCTATCAGCTGTTATCGTTTTCTGCCACCCTCAAATGTTCCAACCTACCCGCTATATCCCCTACTGGAACCAAAGTCCCATCGTTGCTGTAGCCCAAGATATGAAGTTGTGGTGGCAATCCTGTCCAACGGCGTTTATGGTATCTTTATCAGTTCGTCATCACTTCCTGCCACCCACCATTAGTGTTGCTGTCTTAGCTCCTAGATCACTCATAACTTGAAACTCCTTGCGATGAAATCAAAGGAAGTTATGAATTTCTAGTGCAAAACACACACGAGACACACATACAGACATACACACCAACAGACAACCTTAGCGGATTATATACAGTAGGTTTTTCCTCGCTGTATGAATTGCCTTCTTACTATTTCTCGACTTGTGTCGATTTTTATTTCATTGAAAGGGAAATTCGGGTCGACCCAAAAGTGAGTTTTCGACGAACTACTTTTTGAATTTTATCTCGGCTCTCAATCTACAGAAGAAGTTCAAACCTGACCAAAGAAAGATGCGTCTTATGACAGCTTGAAGTTGGTTCAAGCGATCAAGAGGTGGGAATTCGGACCTTGTAAAAGAGCATCGCGTGGGGGCCCTCTTGGGGAGGGACTGCCTGCAGAACCTACCCACTTATTTTCGAACGTCTAACATCAACTGAGGGTGGTGGTTGATAATGATAAGGAAGCATTCTATGACCTCTAACGATCCCTCAATCTTTGGCATGATTCTCAGTTAATAAGGTAATTCCGTAAGCTCTCAGTTGGACAGAATAGGGCATTAGGTTCGATGCTTGTCTGTGAGGTCGAAACTGAAATCTTCGAATCACTTAAAGTATTATTAGCATTCTTAGACATAGCCTTTCAGCCACATACTTAGCAGCTGGGCCCATGCGGTTTTAGCTTTTTAATTAGAGGTATAAAAGAGAGGCTGTCGAAAATGCTCAATTTCGTCGACCTGACACTCCAGTTTGAGCACTTAAATATTAGTGGAAAGAGAAACTTGAAGAAAACTAAGAAGACTATCGTGTAGGGCAAGGAATTCTCTGCAAAATGGTATAAAACTCAATGGCAAAACTTTTTTCTTCTTCAGCGCGATTTTTCGAGTGAGAAAAATGCCATTACTTATGGGCCGACCCACTACAATGTGAAAAACCTGAATCACATAAAACAATCAAAGGTGAAAATGAATTAAAATAGAGAACACAAATTAGGCTTGGATGGTAGTATTGGTAACAAATCTAGACATTTTCTGCAATATTTCCAGAGATCAGATCATTTGGAATAGCTTCCGTGGTGAAAACAACAGGAATTTTTTCGAAACATGCCCCTTCCCTATCAAACTGTAGCGATTCCATGTTGTGTACGTCTGCATTTCAGTTGCTCTAAGTGGTTAAATGTGTTCTTGACATTTTAAATTTATGAAAACATCTTTTTTCTGACATTTCCTACGTTTACTTTTATTTTTTCCTTCTACTTTCCATGTTAAGTTTGGCTCAGTCGTGTCTGTAACGAGAGGTCAGGAGTAAGCGAGCAATTAAGTCAACCCCACAGGCAAGTCTCCCCAAAAGGAATGATGGGCGTGAAGTGAGATTTTTCAAGGAAGCCCTACACCCTTCTGAGGGATACCCCCGCTCAACTGCTTACTCTGACTGGTGACCTCTCACTGGCCAGGCTCACTCAAGACAGAATAACGATATATGAAGCGAATAAAAAACTTTATACTTGGTTTATTAAAATATCATTACATAAGCAAAGGTGGC